ATTCCTTTGCGAACTTAATTACTTATTTTATAGAGTTGTTCATCATGAAGAAGATGAATGAACGTTCGAGGTTGTGAAAATTGTTGGTGGAAGACCTATAGAAGCGATTGAAGGAGAGTAGAGGTTTAGGGTTTCTAATTTTTGAGGAAGTGAGTTATATAGAGAAAAATGAAAATTTCAATTATAACACTTAAATGTCAAATAAAATAAGGAATAACAATTTTTAAAGTCACGGTATGGAAGGTAATAAATAAAGACAATCATGATAAAGTCAATTCCAATAAATTGCACATTGTTCATGATCTAGCTTAAGTAGCGTGTGATGATTAAGTATAACCAAGGGTTATACATGTTAATCAATACATCTAACTAAGTGACACGTTTGATCTCCTCAGAATCTGGACAACCAATTTTTTTCCATCTAATCAAAGATATTTCTGATGTAAGCATCCTCTGATAACTGAGCTTTTAGATACCGCTTTTGATTTACTTATTTCTTCTTATGCTTTCTTCAGAGCAATCTTTCAGAGGTTCTGAATTATCTTCATATTGATTTCTCTTATTCTCAGTTTTCTGATTTAATGAGAGTAACCTTCTTCTAAATTTTAATATCTAATCTAAGAACTAGAATCAGAGTCTTCACTTCATACGGTTTCGTTATTCTTTTGTTTAGAATCAGCCGTCTGATATTTTTGAGAGAATTCTCAGAGAAAATATATTCTTATCTTTTATTATCAGAATCATCCATCTGCGTGTCAAGCTTTCTTTTGAACAGAAGCTTATTTTCAAAAGATCAATATTTCATGAACTTCTGAGAATCTATGTTATAGAGAGAATTAACTATCATTGCTTAGCATCTTCTGAAATCTCTTGTTTCATTGATCGATTTGTAGAATCTGTTCTAATCAAAACTTTGACGTTTCTGATTAACGATCTTGTTCTTTCAATGTTGAGCTTACTTTCTTATATTTAGTCTTTGACCATACTTATGATGTGTCAATGAGCATTCTTTTCTCAACAATGTCTTGACTTCTGCAAAGTCTCTTTTGACATAATCAATGATTAGATATTTTAAATAAGATCTTCTGTCAGTTTAAGTAGACGGTTTTATCATGAGATTCTTATATATCATAAGATAATAATCTTTCTTATTTTGAAAAGATTCCTAATGAGGTCTTATGATAAATTCAAGGGTGGACTAATACATTTCTTGAAAACATCTCACATTTCTCAATGGAACTTAATCAAAAGCATTCAACAAATGTAACTTCTTATCTGATGAATCTTTTCTTGTCAGCTTGTTCTTCAATTTTCTGGATTTACACAGAAGTTGAAAATTGAATAACTATCACCTTAGAGTATTTCTTCATAAAACGTCTGGATCTTTATCGGACACTGTCAGGTGTTTGATGTCCATCAATAACAGAACCAGGCTCTGATACCAATTGAAGGTGTGAAGAAAATTCGAGAAAGGGGGGGCGGAGGGGGGGGGGGGGGTGAATTGGGTTTTCCTTTCTTGTAAAACTTTCGCTTCTAAGCATTATTCATTGAACAATGCTTCTGATTGTTGCTTCTAATTAATACTTCTAATTTGGTTCAGAAAACATAAGCTCTAAAGTATAAAAGAAATTAAAGAACACACGATATATCTTGGTTCACTTGAGAAACCCCCAAGCTAATCCAGTCCACCCTTCCGAGGTGATTTCACCTTGAACCCAAGGACTTAACCCACTATAATCATTTTGCTTACAATCGCACAGGCAACCGCCAGTGACTAACATCCAATGAAACGTTTAGGTATCCAAACTGGATATAAATTTCATTGACCCAACAGAATATGATTCTCCAAAATCTTCTATCAGGATTTCCTTCCAATGATATCCATCGGTGATCTCAGAATGTTGACCTTCACTGAACCCCCTTTGAGATATGACTACCATTGAACCAATAGAATCCACTACCAGGATTTCATCTACTATGGTCGTAGCCAAAGTCTTCTTGAGATCAGACCTTCACTCAGTCTCTCAAGGTATCATCAAACAACTGTTTGATTTACATTTGTTTACAATAATAATGCCTCTGGTCAAGCTAAATATAAACAGAATTAAGCACATCATAAGATCCTAATACACACTAAAAATATTACATTTTATTTTAGCTCTAATGTGTGATCTTCTTTTCTTCAAGTAGCTTCTTCACAGACAACAACCCAAAGCACTTGAATTGCTGAAGTTTTCTTCTTCATAAGCTTCTGAAAGCTTTGTTGATCTTGATGTAGTAAAGAGAAAAACTTCTTCATCTTGATTCACCTTAGAACATTCTGGACAATAGCCTTTGTTCTATCTTCTTCAATGATCACTTTTGAGCACAACATTTGTGTTGTGGATTTGTAACTTGAACATTCATGATCATCTTCATTATCTTCTGTAGCTTAGCAAGCTTTATGCGGTATATAGAATTATGCATATTATGAATCAATGATTTCATTGTAATCATTAACAAAATGATTGGAGAATCATTTTGATGACAATTGGTCTTGTTGTTGTTATAATGGTTAATAACTGTAGTTTTGTTCCAAAAAATGAATGTTATATTTTAACATTGAACACCAACAATAGTGACTTGTAACTTGCCGTTTTTAGCACTCAGCCAAGCAGCTTATAGCAGTCTTATCAATGTTTAGTTTGTTCGACATCATATGTTGAGCAACCAGTTAACCATCCAACCAACAGTTTAAACATATGATTCTTTTCTTATATAGCCAAGTAAAATAGAGTCGTTGGCTATTTGAAAAGAGTCATTACAATAGTACTACGATGTCCTTATCTCTTCCACATTTCAAGTTAGTGGAGAGGTAATGGCATAAGGCTTTTCGTACTGTGTACTATTGTATTGTGTTACCGTTATATTCTTTCCTTCTGCACTTCAGAGGCTTCTGCGAGCATGAGATTAGAAGAGGGAATCTAACATAAGGTCTTCAGAACTTCAAGTGTTCAGAGTCTTCAGAACTGCGTCTTCAAAGTTTTCAGCACTTAGTCGGGAGAACCCGTTGTAGATAACCTTGAACCTTTATAACTTCAAGTCTATGGAATCTTCATACCTTCTATCTTTAAAATCTTTATCACTTGGTTCTTTAAGAATCCTTAACTTCGGAACCTTGTTATTAGAAACACAAAGTCTTTAGCATATGGACTTCAGTTAGAAACATTGTCTTCATATCTTTTAACTATGTCTTCTTTGGAACAAGTTGTCTTTTAGAGACTAAGTTTTTAGCATCTGGACTACAGTAGAAACTTCTTCTTCAAATCTTCTAACTTTATTTCCTGAAACACACTATCTTTTAGAAACATGAGTCTTCAACATCTGGACGTAAGCAACAACTTCTGTCTTCAGATCTTCTGACTGGTTTCCTTAGAACATGTTGTCTTTAGAAGCTTGAATCTTCAGCATCTGGACATAAGTAACAACTTTTGTCTATAAATATTTTGACTGGTTTCTTCAGACAAATATCATAGTTTACACTTCAGAGCCTTCTGAAGTGTCTTGCTACTGTTCAATAGAACTTGTGTAGCATAGAAATGTTACCATTTCTCTTCTAATGTATTGGCCACTCCATCTATTAGAAGCAGAACCTATTTTCTAAATACTCAATAATAACAAACATTAGTATAACAAAATTGTTCATACAATCATATTCATTTGTTATCATCAAAACTCAGAGATGATATTGTAGAACTCAATCTTGTTCAAACATTACTAAACCTAGAAACTTAAGAATTATCATTGAAAAAACCGTGTGTGGTTGAAATAAGAGTTTAGGATTTTGAGAGTACTTTAGGTGCTTTGTTTTTTTTATATGTCACTCATGTATCTTCTGATACATTGAGGTAGACTGATTATTCATTATTAATTTCCCATCACTCATGAGCTTTTAAGCAAAGAGTTGATTGTGTGTCAAGTTATTGTTCTCACTCATGAGCTTTTAATCAAAGAGTTGAGTATTGTTTATTAGAAGTGTAATCTTTTGTTTTGGTTCTTGTCGCTGGTTTGTGAGTGGTTTTATCACCGAGGTGGTTGTGAGAAGTCAGTGGGGATTCTCATATCTAGGAGGTTCCTAGGTATAAATTGCATAGGATGGTGATTAGGTGATAAGTTGTAAACTGAGATTGTTTAGGCTTTGAACTAATACTATTATAGTGGCTTTTCTTTCTGACTTGGTAGCTCTCAGAGTATGTGATGTTGCATCGAACTGAGTTAACAATTGATTGTGTCTTTTACCTTCTGCATTTTAATTCTGCATAATTTCTATTTTGGTAAAATTGTTCTATCAACAGATGATGTCTTAACATCTATCTTGACATTGTGTTTTGATCTTAGGACATCAGTCTTAACATCTATTGCAAGTGTCATAATTTCACTAATACATTCAGGGGAACCCCAATACAATTTTGTTGTTTGTCTTATCACTTTAATTTAATTTATGTTTATTTATTGAGTCTCCTTCATGATTTCACATCTCTAAATACCTGACACTACCTCTTAACCAGGCCATCATCAAACAAATTTGAATGGATGACCTCATATGTTGATAGTTTTCAAAGTTTTATTGATATATCTCTTATTAGTTTTCACAATTTTATTGATATACTAACATATATTCAGAATCATATTAGTAATAAAACGAATTAACTTTTTTCTATAAATAGAAAATAACAATGATTACAAGATGATTAATTTATCTATAAATCAAAAAAAAAATTTAAAATTGTAAAAATGAAAAGCATTTATTTATTTTTCAAAAAATGAATAAAAGTTGAGTACCGACATACATGCGAAGGAGATGCTTTTAATTCAACAATAGGACCAAGACCAATTCAACAATAGGACTACTTTTTAAATCACGAATTCAAACTAAGTAATTTTGCAGCTTCATATAAAGACAGTGATTACATTGAACTTGAGCTACCTTATCACTTCAATCACAAAATCTGCACCAAGAAATGAACTTAATCTGCTTATCTACCGTTGGATCTCGTGCTGGCTTTGTAGCTTGCCTCTTTATGCTATTCTCTTGCTCCACGTTGACTTCCACAGGTTTTTTCTACTTCTCAGTTTCCATCATGTAGCTTAAATCTACTTCTTTCAACTTCTTTATTTCTGTGATGTAAATTTTTAGCCACTCAATTGATTGTTTAATCAATAGTGCTTAATCCACTTGAGAAACTATGTAGTTAGCATATAGAGCAATGATTTTGTTAAAAAAAATGGTTTGAATTTTACTTATAATTTGAAAGTGATTGTTGATGTGCAGAAGCTTATGATCGGTTAGATCCAAATGGAAATATCACAATCAAATGGGATATCATGAGTTGGACTGCAGATGGTTATGTTGTAAGTCAAAGGATCAATCCAATTATTTTCATTTTCTTTAAATTTAGAAATCTAAATTATGTTGCTTGTGTTTCATAGGCAGTTGTTACAATGTACAACTTTCAACAATATCGCCGTATTCAAAAACCGGGATGGACATTAGGATGGACATGGGCTAAAAAGGAAATAATTTGGAACATGATAGGAAGCCAAACAACAGAACAAGGAGATTGTTCAAAATTCAAAGGAGAAATTCCACATTCTTGTAAGAAGGATCCAACAGTAGTTGATTTATTACCAGGAACACCTTACAACCAACAGGTTGCAAATTGTTGCAAAGGCGGTGTCTTGAGTTCATGGGCTCAAGATCCAGGCAAGGCTGTAAGTTCTTTTCAGCTTAGTGTTGGTTCTGCTGGAACAACTAATAGAACAGTTACACTTCCAAGAAATTTTACCCTCAGAGCACCTGGTCCTGGTTATACTTGTGGTCCTGCTAAAATTGTCAAACCAACTCAATTCATTACCAGTGACAAGAGGAGAGTCACACAAGCCTTGAGTAAGTTATCTATGCCTTGTACATTATTTCCAAGAGTTATTTATGATTATGGAAACCAAATTCGAGATTCTCTTTAACATGATACGTATATTTTATGGCAGTGACATGGAATACTATCTGCACTTATTCTCATAGACTTCAACGGAGACTTAGTGACAAGGATTAGTTGTTTGCTCAATATTTTGTTTTCTTGTTTTGTTTGTTACATTTTTCTGTCTTTATCCCTTTATTGTAATGAAACCTTTCTTTCCGTTTTAAGTTATAACTTGTTTGCTTCCAAGTTAATGATATGTGTGGTCTATGTGTTTTTTTTTTCCTATTTGGAAATTGGTGATTAACTATTTTGATTAAACCATGATATATATATATATATATATATATATATATATATATATATATATATATATATATATATATATATATATATATATATATATATATATATATATATATATATATATATATATATATATATATATATATATATATATATATATATATATATATATATATATATATATATATATATATATATATGTGTGTGTTGTCTTACTATTCGTGTTTGCTATTACGTAGTTATATTCTCTTTCGATGTTATCTTTATCTTCTCCGTGATAAAATAATTTGTCTGAAATCGTTTTTGCATAATTGTGGTACTTTGTGCGTTTCTTATACGTGACAATTATTAGTCTGAAGGTATATCTAATATTTCTGTTGTTATTTGCGTTTTCTCATATATTCACATCTCTCTTTTTGATTTTTGTCAATACGGAGAAGTTATGAGATATCTTAAATATTTAATCGTGTTAATTGTTGAATGCATGAGGAGTTTGAGCCGTTTTGTGCGTTGCTCGGTAAGGAATCAAAATATTTTAAAATTTGTCAAATATCAAAAAGAAGAGATTGAAACTACTTATTTGGAAATGATTTTATGTGTTTTGATATTTTACCGTATTTTTAGATATTTTCAATTTATTGTTTTATTGTTTTTGGTGATTTCAGAATTATCCATGACTCTCTCTTGTGTTGAAATCAATCACAGTTTTTTAAAATTGAGCAATTGATCATTCAAGTTCTTGATGATTTCTTTCTTTTTGGATTTTTTTGAAAGTCGTAAACATTCTCATCTCTTGATTTAAGAATTGAATCAAGTTTCTGATTTCAATTCCTAATTCTTAGATATTTGTTAGTGACATAAGTTCTAACATTATTTCTAATATTTCTAAATTTTGAGAAACATTTATGATAGAAACATTCTTCTTTTTCTCGTGTGTTCATTCACTTTTGTTCGACAATTAAAGAAACTCCATATATCATTTTAAGAGTGTCTCATATTATACTAGTGTTTTACAATTATGAAAGTAAAAGAATTTATTTTTTATCTTAAGGACATAACTAAGAAGTTCTTAGTTTTAAAATCAATTTCAAACTTTTTATTTTCCTTTACGGTCTTAAGAAAATACAGTTTATTTACTACTTTACCATTTACATAGTGAGTAGGGATAAAAAGATTAGGGGTGTTCAAAATCAAACCGGTCAAATAGAAAATCATAAATTCAAACTGAACCAAATTAAAATCGCAAAAAAAATCGCATTTGATTCGAATGTGTTTGAGTCATTTTCTCACGGAACCACGCGATTTGGTTTGGTTTGCGGTTTGTATTTTACAAACCGAACCAAACCAAACAAAACCACATTATGTTATAAAATCTTACTAACCAATATATATTTATTTAATTCTTTAGAGAAATCAACATGTATTATGTATATATTTTATCATACTTTGTATGATATTTATTTTAATTTACAAATCATAAAAAAATAAAATATTATTCGTTTATAAATACTATTTTCACAAAATATATTTTATGGTATTCTTTGTATAATATTTATTTAAGAATGCAATCTTGTCTATATCATTCTTTAGATTTAGGTAAAATTATAATACGCAATTTTATGTATCAAATTATAAACTTATTTTTTATGGTAATGTATGAACAATTAAACACAAAATTATATTTTCCTCTATATTTGTATGTATGGCTTAATAATTTTTTTTTGTAAAAAATCGAGCCAACCGAACCAATTCAAACCGCATTAGTTTGGTCTGGTTTTATTCAGATTTATTTTTAAAAGTCAACTGAATCAAACCTGTTGTACCCCAAAATTTGCCCTCTCAATTATCAAGGCCTTTCTCACAAGGATTCTCAAGGTTCAAGCTTGAACAAGTGCATTTGGATTTTCCAATACCAAAATTAAAAGAAAACTGTCAAAAATGGAGAAAACAAATAAAAATATTATTTTGACAAAAATTGGAGAAATACAAGTGTTCTTCGTTTCAGCTCTTTCGATTGGCCTTTAGGCCTCTTTCGATCAGAATCCTTCGATTGACTCTTGGCCTCCTTCGATTTCTCAAAGTGGCTGCTAGCGTGCCTATTTCGCCTGGGCATGTGACTTCTTGTTGCAGGTTTCGTTTGTGTCTTTTGCTGCCTGCATGCTTGCAATCAAAGGCCATGACCTACTGGTCACATGTACCCCCTGCAAGGCAAGTCTTCGTTTGGGCACTCACCTTCTGTGTGCCTAGATGAAAACTTCAGTTGAGCAAGAGCCTCCTTCGAATGCAACTTAGGTCCATCCTTCGTTTTGAGCAGGAGCCTCCTTCGAATGCAACTTGGGAATACCCTTCGACTCAGAAGCCAGGAACCTCCCTCACGCTGAAAGGCATTGACTCCCTTTATGTTTGTTTCGATCCACATGCTTCGATTGGGCAACATTGCTTCCTTCGAACACGGACTTTCGATTGGGAAATATGTTTGCTTCGACCCAGGCTTCGTTTGGGCAATAGGCTTCCTTTAAACAGGTGTGCTTCGATCTCACTCTTGCATTCGACGCAAGACCAAATCTCGTTTGCCAGGCTGTGTTGCGTCTAAATCTTTATATAGTCAGAAGCTTGTACAAAGGTTTTAAATTTTACATTTTGGATACTACTATTCTGGGTTAAAGGCTATATACTTTTTCTTTTCATAGAGAGTACTTTTATCACAAAATCAGCTTTCAAACTGAATTTGGTCTGAGCACAAGCAATGTCAGAAGCATAAGTCATATCTCCTGCACCCCAACTGCCAAGAGGCCCCCCACATGTGCTGTCACGTTACATTATTTTATTATTTTGCAAGGATGGCTATGGACGAACATGTCCATTCTTTCTCTATAAATATAGGAATGTTGGCAACAGCAAAAGGGAGGATTTTTGGGACCAGAGGAACGAATCTCCCAGATTTTCTCAAACACAACAAAATTTCTCAAGTTCATCAACACTTGAGAAATCAAAACTCAGAATCCTAAACACTTACCTCTTTCGATTCTGACGAACACCCCACACATAGAAGTTTGTTCAAACTCAAAGACAACCTTCTGTGACAACTCTTCGAACCAAAAGCAAACCCCCTGTGACTACTCTTCGAATTCCAGAAACGTCCAGGTAGAAGTTCCAGTTCGAATCCCACATCCATTCAAGGCCTGAAGCAAGGTAAGTCACTCTTACCCTTGAACCTTTCATTTCATGGCATAGTATGTGAATAATCTTCCCTTTCATTTCAAGACATGTACATAACACTTTGGTTCTTTTCGTTTCCACCTACTTAATATATTTTTTAGAGCTAAGCCTTTCGTTTTGCTTTATGTTTACCTGAACTTGCTTTAACTATTAAACTGTTTACAAGACAAATACTAGCATGACCTCAGGCCATGTTGCCATTTAATGCTTGAAATGAAAGAAACAGGAAACAGGAAATAGGAAACGAAGCTTTTGGCTTCTACCCTCTTTCTCCAGGTCAAACGAAAGAAACAGGAGACAGGAGTATGAAACGAAGCCTTTGGTTTCCACACTGACTTCCAGGCCTAGCCAGAGGCACACTTGCACTAAGTCCAGGCTCAGACGAAAGGCGCTCCCATGCTGGTGCCAGCCTCCAATCGAAGTACATGACCTGACTGGTGCCAAAGCCCAATCGAAGGACAAAACCTCACTGGTGCTGGCCCCAATCGAAGGAGGCCAACAGAATGCAAATCGAAGGCTGCTCCTGCCCAAATCGAAGGAGCTCACTTTTCTTCTTTTTTATCTTATTTTTTCCTTTACATTTCTATGCCTTTCAATATGGTTGTAATAGTGTAGGATTTATTTTTTGCACTTTTTATTACTTTTGTACAAATGCTAGTAATTAGGTGTGTATGGTAAGATAAAAACAACAAGTAGACAACCTAAAAATCAAAGACAAATGCATGCAATAAAACACACTTTGCACACATGCACCCTTAGGGTAATCTCACTTGTTGCCTCGGAAAATAGTCATGTCCCTCGAGCATGGGCGTTTTAGCAAAGACCCTCGATAAAAGATCGTAGTCCCTCGATGACCCTCGATATTGCCTTCGGTAAACGATCTAGTCCCTAAAACGACATTGTTAAAACGTCCCATATGTTGCCTTCTATGGCTATACAAACGTCCCAACGCTCGTCTCGTTCAATATCCTAACACAAGGTTGTTCACCAAATACAATGGTGAAACAACACTGTTAAAAGGGTTAAAAACATGAGAAAGATCTTTGAGTAAAATTAGGGTAGATAGCTCTTAGTTACTTGATCAAACTTGCAAAACATCCTTGCCATTTTTCAAAACACAACTTCAAAAAAAATTTCAAAAAAAAACTTTCAAAAAACATTGAAACATCTTTTCAAAAAGACAAACACCTTTGTAAAACATTCTAACAAAAATTGTTACAAAGGTTGCCTAGACAAGGTATCTTTTTCAAAACATTTTCAAAACCACACACACCACAAGCACATTAAAACAAAGGCAAGTGATCTAAAACAAGTAACTAAGAGCCCATGGATAACCATGGATGAAAAGGGTGCTAGCACCTTCCCTTTTCATAATCCACCCCCCGAACCCATGAAAACATCTCAAAGGTCTTTCCTGTGCTTTTTGACCTTTCCTTAGGATAAAATAAAAATTCAATGGCGACTCTTGCTAAAGCGAAACATTTGCAAACGCAAACGTAAAACCTCAAGTCAATTCTCCCACCGTATCACAGAACTGGCGACTCTGCTAGGGAATCTTATAAAAGTGGGGTTACCTTAGGGTTTTAGATCACCTTTACATGCTTATATTG